AAATAATTCAGGGATCAAAGAAGAAATCATAAAGGAAAAAAGAAAACATTCTAATCTGAGTAACAGTGTAAAGATACAATCTGTGGAATGCATCTGAAGCAATGCCTAGAGGGAAACTGTACAGTTTTACTGTCTTTATTAAAAAAGAAGTGTTTAGAATCAATTATCGAAACTTCAAAAAAGCCATAAAAGAGCAAATTAAAACCAAAATAGAAAGCAGGAATAATAAAGACGAGACAGGGTAATAAAAACAAATGGATAAAATTAACACTGTCAGAAGTTGGTTCTTGGAAAAAAATTAATAAACTTGATTAAACCTATAGCAAGACTGGTCAGATTAAAAAGTCAAGAAAAAAGCTACCAATATAAAAAAGGAAAGCAGAAACATTACTACAGATCCCACAGTCAGTATAAGGATAATTCAAAGAATATTCTGAACAATTTTATGTCAAAAATAGTGGTAATTACCTGAAATGGACAAATTCCTTAGAAGATACAACTTACCAAATATGACAAAAGAAGAAATAGAAAATGTGAATAATCCTGTATCTGTTTCAGAGAGTGAATTTGTGATATACAATATTCACCCTTCAACACACAAAAAACCCCAAAAAGCAAACAAAAAAACCCCTCCAACTCTAGGCCCAGGTAACTTCAATGGTGAATTCTTCAAAAATATTAAAAGAAATAGTATCAGCTATCTCATAAACTCTTCCAAAGAAGAGGGAAAGGACCACTTCCCAAATTGTTTTATGAGGCCAGCATAACCCTAATACCAAATCTGACAAAGATGTTATACGAAAATGAAATTACTGATCTATATACTTCATAAAAACAGATACAAAAGCCCCTAACACAATATTAGTATATCAAACAGCAATATATAAAAGGTAACACATCATAACCAAGTGAAATTTATTTCAAGGATACAAAGTTGGTTTAACATTTGAAAACCAACCATAGTATGTCACCATGTTAGCAAACTAAAACATAAAAAACTATATGGTCATCTTGAGTAATGGAGAAAAAGCATTTTCAAAATTCAACACATATGTTTCTCACCATGTCTGTTTAACATTGTACAGGAAGTTCTAGACAGTGCAATAAAATTGTAACTAGAGATTAAAGGCAGGATATTGAAAAAATTGAAACAATTCTCAGATGATCTAACTGTGTGCATCATAATCAAAAAGGTTCCACAGAAAAGTGAAAAAAAAATTTACTAGAACAGTAAAATGAATTTAGCAAGGTTAAGTTACAAAGTCAAAAGCACAAAAATTGCAGTTATATATGATGCTAATAATTGGAAAATAAAAAACAATTCTAGTTACCACAGCACCAAAAACCTTAAAAATTTTAGGAGTTAAACAAAGGTCTGCCAGATGTCTACACTGTACAAAACATTCCTGAGAAAATAAAGACCTAAAATAAATGGACAGATATACCATGTCCACAGACTAGAAGAGTCTAATAATAGTTAAATGTCAGTGATTTCCAGATTGCTCAATTCAGAGCAATCCAAATCCAAATCAGATCAGGATTTTTTAAAAAAATAAATTAATCAATTTATTCCAAAATTTATATGGAAACACAAAGATCTAGGATAGCTAAAACAATCGACATCAGAATTGTAGGACTTAGATACCTGATCTCAAAGCTAGACATAAAGCTATAGTAATCAAGACAGTGTGCTACAGGTATAATGATAAGTGAACAGAGTCCAGAAATAGACCACATTTATATAGCTGGTTAATTTTAAAGGGACACCAAATGAATTAAATGGAGATAGAGGACATTTTCAACAAATGAAGCTAAGCCAAACATATACTCTTGTGGGAGCTAGGAGGAAGGAAGATCCTCAATCCTTGCCTCATACCATACACAGAAATGAATTTGAGATGGATCATGAACTTAAACTTAAGAGCTAAGACTCGAGAGCTTTCACAATGTTCTCCTAGGGCAGTCTACCCAGGCAATAGAAATAAAAACAAAAATAAACAAATGGGACTTAATTAAACTTATAAGGTTTTGCACAGCAAAGGAAACCGCAAGCAAAACAAAACGACAACCTACAGAATGGGAGAAAATATTTGCTAATGATGTGACTGAAAAAGGTTTAATTTCCAGAATATATAAATAGCTCATACAGCTTAATAACACAAAACCAAACAATCCAATCTAAAAATGGGCAGAAGACCTAACTAAAAAGCAATTCTCCAGTGAAGACATACAAATGGGCAACAGGCACATGAAAAAATGCTCAGTATCACTAATTATTAGAGAAATGCAAATCAAAGCTATACTGAGTTATATCACCTCACATCAGTCAGAATGGCCATCATTCAAAAGTTCACAAACGATAAATGCTGGAGAGGGTGTGGAGAAAAAGGAACCCTCCTACATTGTTGATGGGAATGTAGTTTGCTGCAGTTGTTATGGAAAACAGTATGGAGATTCATCAAAAAACTAAAACAGACTTACCATATGATCCAGCAATCCCACTCCTGGGCATATATCCAGAGGGAACCTTAATTCAAAAAGATACATGCACCCCAATGTTCACAGCAGCACTGGTTACAACAGCCAAGACATGGAAACAACCTAAATGTCCATAGACAGATGACTAGATAAAGAAATTGTGATATATTAATACAATAGAATATTACTCAGCCATAAAAAGAATAAAATAATGTCATTTGCAGCAACATGGATGGATCTGGAGATTGTCATTCTAAATAAAGTAAGCCAGAAAGAGAAGGAAAAAAATACCATTATCACTTATATGTGAAATCTAAAAAAAAAGAGACAAATCAATATATACAAAACAGAAAGAGACTCAGACATAGAAAACAAACATGGTTACTAGGGGAGAAGGGGGTGGGAAAGGATAAACTGGGAGTTCGAGATTTGCAGATACTAACTCATATATATAAAATAGATAAACAACAAGTTCATACTGTACAGCACAGGGAACGATATTCAATATCTTGTAACTTATGGTGAAAAAAGTTAAAATGAATATATGTATGTTCATGTATGACGGAAGCATTATGCTGTACATTAGAAATTGACAACATTGTAAACTGACTATACTTCAACAAAGTATAAGACTAGAGTGCTTTCAGAAGAACACATGGGAAATATCTTCACGAACTTGGGGCTGACAAAATATTCAAATGACACAAAAAGCATACAACTGGAAAGGAAACAAAAAAACCCCAGACTTCATCAAAACGAAACACTTCTGCTCCCCAAAGTCACCATTAAAAAAATATACAGGCAGGCCAGACTGGGGGAAAATCCTAGCAGTATATATATCCAACAAAGAACTTATATCCTTATGAAAAGGATTCCAACCATTCTGTAATGAGACAAGTAGCCTAATGAAAAAAATGGCCAGACACCCGAACAGACATTTCAGGAAAAAAAAAAAGATAAATTGCCAGTAAGCATATGAAAAGGAGTTAAACATCATTAGTCATGCAAATTAAAATCATGAGATAAAATAGAACAACTGGAACTCTCATTATTCCAAACACATAAATACACATAAAATGGCATATACAGTCACTTTGGAAAACTTTTTGGCAGTTTCTCATAAAATTAAACATAAACCTATTTGATGACTCAGCAATTTCACTAGTTATTTAGTAAGAGAAATGAAAACATGCCAATAAAGAATGTTCATAATAACTATATTTATAATCACCCCAAATTGTAAATTGTGCAAATGTGTCCATAAATCAAAGAAAGGATAACTGTGGGATGTTCCTGAAAAGGAACACTACTGAGCAGCAGAGAAAATCCCAAACTATTGATATATGCAACAACACGGAGGAATCACATAGATGCTGTGAACCAAGTCAGATGCAAAAGTAAACATGTAAAATTTCATTTATATGAATTTCAGGAACAGGTAAAACTAATCTATGACAATAGAAAACAGCAAAAATGGTTGCCAAGGTCAGGAGGAGAGAGAAATATATTTCCTGGAAAGAGGCACGAAGGAACTTTCTGGGATGATGAAAAGGTTTTCTATCTGGCTTGGAGTTAGGATTACACATATGTATACATTTGTTAAAAGTGGTAGAATGTAATCCTAAAATTGATGTACTTCACTATCTACAGATTTTACTTGAATACAAACAACCTTACCTTAAAAACTAGTATTACAACTCTGACTTACCAGAAGGCTCTGTGCCACTTCCAAAAGGGGCTGTTCACACAGACATATGACCTTATCTCCACTTACAATAGCTTTGTTCTCTGAGTCAGTTAGCTCTTCAAAATAAAACTTGACCTGTTTTTGAATTCACTAAATTTCCTGATGAAATGCTCACAAAATTTTACTTTGTCCTAAATATCTTATTAAGAACCTAATTCATTATGCTGTACAATAAAAGTTAAAGACTGAAGTTACCCTAAAGATAGTCCAAGCCCTCAACTCCTTTTAAAATAAAAATAGAAGCTTAGATAAACTGACATGTCCAGGATTATGTTATTTCATTTCAGAAATAAAAACACATATATTATACATTGTCATCCTTTGCAAATACTAACACTTTGGCAAAGACAACAGCTTACCTTTTACACAGATGAAATGATTACATATTTTAATGGCACCTGAAGCATTAGGAACAATGACTGAATATATTTAATACATAAATACGTATTTTAAAGAAAGCAGATATTTTCTATTGAACTGAGGCATTTCCAAATTCACATGGCTGGTTTTTCACCAATGATGCAATTTCTAGCTGAAGTGTGTTGGCCTTTATGGTTGGTGCATTTCAATCACACCCCTTTTCAGGAGCTGTACTGATAATTTACAAAAGTTGAGTAAAGAAAGAATTTCTAGACTTTTGAAAATATGCAGTGAAAGGCATAATGGCATTTCTGTACTACAACAGAGGGTAAATGTAGTAAAATTAAAAAAATTTTTGATTTGTGATGAGCAGGGGGAGGCTTAAAATGCATTTAAATAATGGAAAAAGACTCACTTATAAAAGAAATTTTTATTGGATAAATATAATTTCATAAACTTTAAAAAAATTACTGAGAGCTGTACAATAGGTACACATTTACTGACAATGCAGATAATTTTTAAAGATTATATTAGACAGCCACAGTATCTGAGGTCCAAAATTTTAAACTAAGTGTTGCTACATTATTTCCAGCTACTAATTTCTCATAAAAATCTAACAATCACCATTATTACAAACATATCATTAGTTATGATGTATTTTTTGCAGGAATATCATTCAGGTTATCTCACATAAATAGCATTTTAATAATGCTCTATTTTTGTGAAAACAGGTTACTCATTTCAGGATAGAAAAATATCTCTAAAGGGGGGACCAAAATTAACAGAACATGTTTTACATAACTCTTTGGTGTTTAAGTTTTATTAATACCTGCTTATAGCATATCCCAAATTGATCTTTACAGGAAAAACACAAACATGGATGAATTTTTTTTTCCCTCAGCCCTCAATAACTTTCCAGAGAAGTGTATTTTTAAAAACTGTCGCTATTAATTGTAAATTTTTTAGTGGCCTTGACTCCTGCATATCAGATAGGAGTCTCAAGCTTGTAAGTCCAATTTCACAATCTTATGCAGTAAAAATAACCCTGGTCTGAGTATAGGTATTCCCTAACTGGGTGATTTGCCTCTGTTTAATTTCCTTCTTACTCAGGATAGTGCCAGAGTTTGAATCAGGTCTTTGAAGCCTTTGGCTATCAGGGAGAAGATGACCCAAAGAGGAGAGGCTAGTTAAGAGAAATTCAAACTAAATTCTCCCCTTTTTTCTCGTCAACTCCACAGCAAGCCTGGGGAGCTACAGTTCTTCTGGCCTACACCCTACTCCTCCTAGGGTGAGTTTACTAATGCTTGCTAAAGCTGAGGCAGGGTGCGGAGTCACCTAAAGCAGCTGATGGACGATTTTGAAAACTGACTTGGTGCTTGCTACTTACTATCTCCAAGGCTACAGCCTTCCGGCTAGGCAAAAGCAAGCAAGTGAGGCAAATAGATTTGAGATCACTAATTAACTAGCAATAACACATGTAGCATCGTACCCTGGTTTTGGCAGATAACAGTAAGTTCATTATCAACATCATACTTTCCAAAGAATTTTAAAGAAATACACAAAGGGGAAAATTTCTGATTACTCATTAGGTAGTAATAGCTTTACAATAAGAATATTAACACTAGAAAATGATTGGAAATTTGAGGATAACACTGTCACTTTCTTAAATAAATAGAAAACCTCTTTCTTGAAATTACAAGATAATCTTCTAAATGGAGCAGGTTTTGAACAGAGTAGGATGAGCATATCAGGGGATGCTATTATCTTTCTTTCAGAGACAAAGTTCTTAAATAAATTCAAATAGTAAAGGCAGAAAATTGCATCAATCATACCTTAAGCACCATATAAGCTAGCTGACCCCTCTGCCTTGCTGCAGTTGGTCAGAGACTGCTTGAAGGGTTTGCAGTCCTCTCCTAGTGTTAGCAGTTTAGCTGATGGCAAATAAACACAAGGCAGATGTAATGCAAGGTACTCAATGTCACTTTGTTACATGAACATTTTATAAGACATTCTAAGAAAAAGCAAATTCTGTATTATTTTCCACTAACTACTCTACTGAGTATTTTCTGGAATACTTCCTCTTCTGGAACATGAATTGGTGAGGGTACACATGGTATATTTTATTATTCTGTTAATGTATTTCCAGAATAACAGTAACTTCCTAAACCCAATTTTGGAATGTCCAAGTTAAAGAAGAGCTATTAATGAAAATTAGTATTTAGGCTGACATTCATAACCTAACATCCTTGCATTATTGAAACATATAAATGTTATATTAGCAAGAAAATAGTTTACCAGTAGACAAAGGTAAGGTCTTAATTCTACCATTCTTTCCCTATCAGCCCAGTTCCAGAAGTCTTATATTCATGAAATGGGAAAGGGGTAGAGGGTTGTGCAATAAATTTACAAAAAGGAATCATATTCTGAAGGAAAAGTTTTGGCAAAACCTTACTGAGCCATTTTCATACAATTTTGAATGTATATGTACACAATTATTACATGCTTAGAGCTGGGTAATAGTTCTTAAACCAATAATCATTTTCAAATTTTAAAATATTACTTTTTATCAAAACAAATAAAAACACTGGATCTACATGATAAATTCAGGATGGAAATCAATTACTGAAGTGCAGTGAGTTAATGGCAGTAATGCATACCTCATTGTTTTTAACATTTATATGTATTGCAGTCATTACCCATAAAATTTAGCATTTTAGACTTTGTTTCATTTACATTCTATACCCACATCTGAAAACGTACCTTATAATGAGACACTGGGCAGATTTCACTTTACTGTGGTAGTCTGCTATAACTTAGACAACATATACTAACCTAAAAATAACAGGATTCTCATCTGAAATCCTTTATTCTAAAAGCTAGCTTACTGAAAGGCAAGAGCAATTCTAAGCTAGCTATAGAAAGAGGCTCGTCTCAAATTTTACTGAGTTAGTTGCCCTAAACTTTTGATTTGTATAATTTAAAGTATTTGCAATATTTAAATACTGTCCAAACTTGCTTTTTATTGATATAGTTGAACTTAACAACAGTATCATAAAATACTATAAACAGAGTCTTCAGATAGAAGAAAAAAAGCAAATTTAAATATATTAACCAGATTAAAGCATGCAAAAGATCCAATAGATAAACACATGAAATAATAATAATAATAATTCACCCAATATAGGTTCTTTATACTGTCACAAAAATAGTAAACATCAATTTGAAATCTGGTGAATGGACTTGATTCCTGATTTATATGTAAGATATGATATATCCTTTGCATGTATATAGTTAGACTTTGTTTCATTTACATTCTATACCCACATCTGAAAACATACCTTATAATGAGACACCGGGCAAACTGTTACAGTACATTTAGAGAAATTTTGGTACCGGTATATACTTACTACCCATAATGCAGGAAATAATGGTTGGAAATGCATTCTCCTAATTTGCTCTGGGAACTTAGAAAGCATTAATGAATTAGCAACATGGGTCACTGAGGGACCAAAATTCCTTACTATTCACATTAACTTTTCCCATGAAAAGCTTCAAATATAACTCTAATAAAAAAATAGAGTTTTCAAGGCAAACTTCAGCATAATTTACAGAAGCAAATTTAAATAGAAGACTCAATAACCAAGCTAATACTAAAAATACAATTAACCAGGAATTACCTCTTTTTTACCTTGATATTAAAATATAGTGGCCTTAGCAAGAGGCTGAAATGCCATTAGGAGTCCCATAAGCACATGAGACAACCCAGATAAAGAGATGAAAAATGTCTCTTTATTCACAAATTTTAACATGTTCAGATTTAAATTAAAGGGAGCTGAGAGGGGTGCATGTTAATGATTTTTGTTTGCTTGCCATTATAACTTTGAGTGGGTATGAACTACTCCAGAGATGTCAGACTAATTCTGCAGAGCTAGTGTGGCCATTACCAGGATGCTCACACTGAGTTTTAGGAAAGGAGTTGAAATGGCTCCCACAAAGTACTACTGCCCCTTTAGCAAGTAGATGAGTCCATTGTGGAGAGAGTCAAGATGCTCCTGTCGTTGGTATAGAAAGGATCCGGTGCACTCCATGATCTAAAGTAACAATAAAAGAAAAGTTTGGCTCACCAGGACCTATGTTTTAATTCAGAAAAAAATTTACTCTAAAACTTAGGACCAAAATGCAATTTGAGTATTAAAAAATAATCAATGACTGATTCACTTTTAAATGTTAAACTTGCATTTTTAAATGCTAGCAGTGAATGACCAAACATTCTATTTATATTATACAAAAACTTGGGAAAAGTAATGCTCTAGTTATCATATGAAATTATTAGCCACAATTCAGACATTCATTAGCATTAAAACAACTTCTATAGATAGTAAAGCATGAGACAATTTTAAAATCTTAACAATTCAATAAGAAACAAGTATGTTATTAAGAGTTATGCACATTCAGTTTTACTGAAAAGCAACTAGGCTGTATTTTGACATTACAGAAGCAAACAAAATCACTTACCAAAAGCTTTGGAATGGAACAGTAGTATGTTCATATTACACTATTATTTCTTTTCAGTTATAAATTCTAAGGTTTTAGCATAATCAGCTTGAACGAAGTAAATGTTTTAATTCAACAGGTATCAAAGACACCTGTAAGTCACTAGGGTTTCCACTTAACTAAGAACAAATGATCCTCTACTGGTCTGGAAAAGTTAACTACTGTCTTGTCTGAATGTTAAGGCCCATAAGCAGTTCATTATACAATATTTTATTTGCAGCTGTATCAGTTTCAGCCAAAGTAACTGAAGACTAAAAACAGCCTGTCATGCTTAAAATAGCTTAACCTATTCAAAGGACAGTATTAGGGTTACCAAGTCAAAGGTGGCTTTTTTTTTTTAGAAGACTAAAAGCACTTAACAATACATACATTTTATGTAACTTTCCCCATCTTTCTTTAAATAAAGATGTTAGAGGACGAGAGTAGCATTTAAAACAGCCTACATTCACTTTTATCAAAAACCTGTTTCCTAGAGACTGTAAAGTTTGTATGTAATTCAAGTTTAAATCGGTTTAAGTGAGCACAGTCACAATGAAGTTTGGAACCTAGAAACTTTACAAAGTTAGCTAAGAGGAAGACAAACAAGCAGAAACCACACCAAAGGTTTACAGGTTCTCTAATAATTTTACCAGTTTCCAAAAATCTTACGATATCTACCTTAGTTTAAGAAGGGCTTGTTCAATACCATCTCTAGCACCTAGAACTGTGCCTGGTACATAGTAGGCACTCAGTATTCGTAAACTAAATGAATGAAATGAGACTATGAACATTTCTTAGGGTTAAGTATTTATGCAAGGAAAAGTATGTTCAGAAACACACAACAAAACATAACTATAAATACACCAATTATCTGGAGTCAATTTTCCACTCCTCAACTATCAATATTTATGTTATTTTTTCCTCTTTTCCAACCATTGCTTATGTAGAAGAATCTCATTAGGTAAAGTTTCTTTCATTTTTGATTTTTTCAAAGTGCACATGTGCATTCATATTGTTAAATATAATAATTGACAGAAATATTAAACACCTGAACTACATGTGAACTAATAATTCTTATCTATTTAAAAGATAGTTTTGATTAGAATAAAGTAACTGCTGGTAAAATACATTAAAAAAAAAAGATTTATTGCTGAAGTACAGCCCTTTAGCATACAACATGGCATATCCCCTACATAGCACCATGATGCTACCTTTGAAACTGAGCTTGCAATATGGTATATCCCCTTGACAACATCAATTGATAAAATATAAGTAGAATTTCTTTGCCTAGATGGTAAAACTTCATCAGTAATTTGTCATAGAAAGCATTAGCTATATTTCTCACATGATACCCATTATCTCTTATGTTTAATGTTAATGGAATAAATATTCAAGGGATTCTACATCATGTAATAGCGGTATCAGCCTTGTCTTACCTTTTAAATTAGACATGAAAGAGAAATGTAGAATAGGGGCTGCTCCAAAATCAAAACAGAAATGCCTAACATATTTCACTAATACAATTATATGTAAAAAACAAAAACAAAATTCAACATATCAAAAATGATCTTTTCAAAGTTTAAATATAATGTTAATGAACTGATGGCAATTTTCATATAGCCCTTTGAAAAGCACTGAATGTTTGCATACTGTATGATTTTATCCACTAAAAAAAGAAAAAAGAAAGAACAAAAGAACAAATCTCAAGACTTTTTAGATGATTCATTTGAAGAAAACAGGGAGGTCACGACAGTAGTAACCAATAATATAACCTGAACAATTTTAAGTGAAAAGAAGTGCAGATGAGAACAGACACCTTCAGTAGAACATGCAGAAATAAATCCTATAATTCCTGGGGCAGGTTCAAAAGGAATAATGTGGCATAAAAATGACTATGCAAATAATATTTGCATAATAATAATAAATAGGAATATATTTAAAGCAGAAAAATATTTTGGGCTTACTGAAAATTATTTCTAGTCTTTTGTTTTAATAGTGAAGATGTATATCATAACTAAAGAGAACTTCTTGTTGAAAAAGATATTTTAAAAATTCTCTAAAAGTTCTATAGTAGTCTCTTAATCTAACTCTCACCTTAGTTCTGTGCAGTGAAACTTTCTTAATAAGTAAAAGAATGTTGTAAATTAGATCCTTGTGAACTTCCTTTGGGAAGTTCATTGGCCTGGGTACATGACAGAACTGCTTTTCTGTAACACATTTTATAATACAATTGTCTAAGTCATAACATATAAGCCCCAATAAATTTAGCTGCTCGTGGTAATTCTTATATATGCAATAAAATTACTATAAAATGATGACAACATTATGGAAATATTTTTGATTACATTATAATCAACAAATGGAGGCTGAAACCATAGAAGTTATATTGACATAAGGATGCTCTTTATAAATGCAAGTGTATGGTAAAGAAATGGCCATAAATAAAGGCAAAGTGGGAACTAAGTAGTTCACCAGTAAAAGTTACCTGTACTCTATTATACATGAATGATATCATTCTTACCATTTTAAAAACATAAAGCCAACCAAGTATTAAAAATTTTTTTATCAACAGATAAGAGAATAGTGCCTCCTCTACCCTTTATTCCTCTGGAGTCTTTCTTTCCAACATTTTCCAAGCGATGGAACATGTAGAAAATGATACTATTTACATGGCACACTGTGGACAATCGAAATCACCATCTATCCTTGCTCATCTGTAACCCTTCATGCACACCAGAGCCCTGCTGCTCTGATTTGTGGACTTTAATATCATCACCTAAAGTACACCGAAGTATGAAAAAAGTTATTTCTATTCCTTAATATTTACTAAATAATAATGTCTCTTGGATAACCACATAAAGAGCTGAATCAATTTCACTTTTAAATACAATTTAAGTAGTATTTACCAAAAGATGGTATTTTTTGTTATAATCCACAAAAGCAAATCTAGTTCAAGAAACACATTTGGGAGGGGATAGAAATGTTAAGGTTCTTCTAAACCATAATTTAAAGAGCCTGTTCTAACTTACAAACTTTTAATTAGACCACAAATGCCAAGTAAAAACTTAAAAATCATAACTCATTTTAAAACATCATTACATAGATAAAAAGATATAGGAGAGCAGAAATGCAGCCTTATATGTTTATAAATACCTCAAAGTCTCGAATGACTGAGTAGTAAATACGCACGAAGAATAAGAAAAGCAAAAATTTTCTGATTTTACTATTATGTGTAGATTATTTTATAAATACAAAAAAGCAAAAAAATGCAGGAAATAAAACAACAGTATAGGTATAATCAAAAAAAGAAAGTTATAAATACCAACCAAGAGTACCATATACACACTCCTATATTCACATTTGAGAAAGACTGTAAAGCAAAATTTTTTGTTCATTAGATGAAATGTCTCTTCAAAGGTGCTTTTTCTTCCTCTGTAAGTGAAAGAACCCTCTACCCTAAAGCCACACAGTGAAATACCATCAAAGAGTGCTAATAAATAGCACACTTTCTGCTTCAGCTGGTAAAACCAGCTGCTGATTTATTAGGTATTTAGAGATGCAGGTTCATCCTGTTCCAGTTTACAGGATACTCAACTGCAGCAAAGGCTACTTAGAGAAATTTCACACCTGCTAACATGGGTTGGACTACATCTTCCGATTACTCGTTCCAGCATTCTTCCAATAGACGCGCATGCTGTTTCTCCTTCTGAGAAACAGCACATGGAGTCCAAGCACTTGATACTTGAATTTGTTTCAGTAAGCTGGAGGAGTTGAAGCAGAAAAATATTAGTTATTTATAGGTTTGGAATTCCAGAAAGCATTAAAAAAATTACAACAAGCACTTTAAAAATCAAAAGTAATGTATATAAATACATGTTTTCTACAATATGGAAATGTATGGAAGGCTTTAATTAAGAATAATCATACAAAAATATTTAAAAGACACTGTGTCCAAAATTAGAGGCTGACTGAAATAATTATATGAAAACAAATAGCTGAGTATTATGTAAATTTGCAAAGATTTTAATTTTAATATCTTAATAATATATTATGGTCAAAATGATTTACATCAATCACTTAGAACTTAAAAAATTCTATTTTTTCTTTAAGTTTTTGTTTAGGTTAAATGCTCCTGCAATTTCAATTAAAAACACCTAGCAATTGAGAAAAGTAGATTGTAAGTTATTTTGAAAACTAGAAATAACCAGGCAGGACCACCTAACTCTAATCTTCAACAATAACAACAACAATAGTAGCAAACACCTTATGTAGTGTTTACCATATGCCAGGTTTTAACTACTATACACACACACACACACACACACACATATACATACATACACACACTCCATACATTATCATTGAAAAAAGCATCATTTGCCTTAAATTGCTAAGAAACTATTAAGTGCTAACCATTCCCATAAGCTCATCTTGCTTTTAAAAAATTAACTGATTGTACATTATTAAAATCTATTAAAGTAGTGACTAAGTGACCAGATTAATTTCTGTAAGTATGCAAGATGTACACTGATTCAGGCATAAATAACCTGGCAAGATAACATAAAGCTATAGTACTACTAATTTTAATCCTGTTAAAATAGGGGGAAAAAATGTATGACCACATAGCCCAATGAATCCCAACCCTGGTTTTGACACAGTCAAGGATACTCCTAAATTTCTCTAGGATTATAATTTTAAACAAACTTACTTTCATTCACTTTCCTTTACATATATAACATATTGCATAACAAATCTTTGAAAGTATGGAGGAAGGAGAACAACAAATACAGATTTTAGAGTGCTGCAATTCAAAGGTTGGGAATCACCAAGTGTCAAGTGTAGGCATGGCAACAGCGGACATTTGTGGAGACACTCACAATGGACAGAAGAGACGGATGTGATGAAACATAAATAACCTGGCATTCTGAACCTAAGCAACTGGTGAGGTCCTGCAAAATTCCTGCATGGAGTAATTCTGCCAAAATCAAGAAGTGCAAGACAATGTGGTTCCTATTTGGCAACGAAATGATTGCACCTTATATCCTAGGATCTGCTAAGCACTGAGAATTAGCCAAATTTTACTTGTGCTCTCATTATAATACTCTGGGTTTATGACTGTTTGCATTACTGTGTTTTTAAACTGTGTTTATGAGATATTTACAAATGTTGCATAAAAAAAGCTCTATGGCTAACTTTGAGAAATACTAGATCAACGAAGGTCTACAAAGACTTCTTGAGTAAAGGACTGTCAATAATCAGGATGTATGGAAGTCTTCAGGGGGAGAGCTAGACAGTGCAATTCTCAAATTTGTTTTTTTGGTACACTCCCCTTCCTTCCATTCCCCCAGGGAACATTACTCACCACCACAAGGAATGTCAATATTCAGAGGGATAGTTTAGGAAATGCTGGTTTACGTAACAGGATTTCACCAATTTCCCAGTTTTCTCCTTGGGTCACTAGGCTCCAGTTTCCTTTATCTCAAAAATCATCCTCTGTAGGAAGCGGGACTTTAGAGCTCCCACATGCTCAAAGGAGAAAGTACACCACCACAAGGTGGCCTTTAAAGCCCCTTTATAACCTGACCTCAGGCTGCCTTTCTTATTCTAAATGCTCCTAAGTAGTCTCCACACAGCCAACCAGGCAGTGTTCCCTGCCTGTGGGCACTGTCACCAATAAGGGGCAGAATGCTGACCCACAACATCAAGTTCAGTTTAAATACCATCATCTCTACAAAGATTCTCTTACCTCTCCAACTATCAGTAATCTCTCTCTGAATTCTATTCTACTGCTTGTTTGTATCATTTAAATGACAGAAGCACTTATATTCAACTTATGTTTATTGAGCAAGGCTGGTTTCTACTGGGACAGCAATCCTGCCTTTAATCTAGTGAGTTAAGGATAAAGGATGGGAGATAAGTTAGGAATAAATAATAATGGCAGTTACATTAATGGAAGGCTTACTACACATGTGCCAGTTACAATGTAAGATGCTCCACATAGGTTATCTAATTTCTAACCACCTTTTGGGATACACACCATACTCATGTATATTTTACAGATAAGGAAACAGAGAAGTTAAAAACATGTTCAAGCTCATCCAGTTAGGGCTTTAAGTCTTGGTTTTTTTGATTCCAGAGCCCAAACCTCTTTACCATGCCATTATACTGCCTTTTTATAATTATGGGAAGAGGCAGACTTCGAATATCAAAAAAGAGAAGGGAAAGCTCAAACCCAGCTGTTGTCGATATTGGTGGGAGGGCATGAGATATCTGATGAGAAAAATGGCATCTAAAATACATACTGAACACTAGATGGGATTTCAATAGCTGGAGATAGAGGAGAGGAGAGAGCATTTTAAGCTAAGCAAAGAGAATGAGTAACTGTGGATGGGCAGAAAAGCATGTTGTGTATTCAGCACACGTTTAGCCTAAGTGTGAGAGAGAGTAGTTACTCCTACTCCCTTGCAAAAAGACCAATGCGACTCACAGTATGATCCCTGGATCAGTGTTGTTCCGAAGACACTGTTACTGGCCCATGAGGAGACAAGTATCTGGTCTGTGAGTTTAAGAGATTAGAAAATTTTATGGCAATTTGACAGAATACTTTTGTAACTTTGAATCTAATAATAATTTTAAAATTAGGGTTTATTTTATGTATCTTTTAAATTTCATTTCCTAATAATTTTTACTTGTAATTTACAAAAGCATTGGTCCATGGTGAACTGGAACTAAAAAACAACAAAACCAGAAAACAAACTGGTCCTTCACCACATTCATCTGGGGAGCACTGAACTAGACCAGAAAGAGCAAGGAATTTGTCTGGTACTTCTTAGTTTAATGTGTGCTTTGCACTGGTACTAAACCAACTGACAGGGATTCACTAAAGATGGCATCCATAAAATCAGCAGCATTTGAGTGTCCACAGATGTGCAGAACATTGCTTAGGTCTGGACCTGAAATTAGGTAATTACCTTGCTTTGCATTCATCACCTTTCACTTTAAAATCTAAGGACAGGTATTAAACTATGGGCAACTTAACACTGAGAGTAAACATCTTGAAATATCAAGAATATTATAAAGAACTGACTTCTTCAGATCACTTTTTGAACTAAGAAAAATACATTTCCTTTATTTCCCTAAGGAGGAAAAAACCCCATCTGCTTTGAAAATGCTGAATTCTGTTTAACTGTTTCTGTAAAGCTATCTGTAAAGAGTTCTCTAGCAAATCTCCAAGCTCCACCACTTTCCCATATACCCATCTTTGATCTCATATTTAGAACTGAGAGCCCAGCCACAGTACATGTAGTCATAGCTTCTAGTACAAGTGGGGGTGGAGCATTCAGATCTCATTTCATTTAATCTAAGGAAAGGGAGTCATTATCTTTTCTTTTTTAAAGACAACTTATAAATACTTAGAAAAACAATACTAGAAAGAAAAAATAAAGTGAGACCCTACCTGGAAGCACCAAAAAGTAACTTCTAATTTATTAGAAATGTTGACTTATTGGTAAGACTCACTTTCTACCACACTTACTTCTCAGGAACAACCACGTAACTTAGAACTAAAAGGGCTGCCAAGCAAAACAACTATGGAGATTCAACATGACTGTGTACAGCTAATAAAAAATTTTCATCTTTACAGAACTTGCATTTTGAAATAAATTCTGGTTCACTGCTCTTACTATTTTCATATTGATGATGGTAAACATTTAGAAGTTTCTCCTGTTGCTTCTACAAAAATCTTCCATAAGTCTTTTTTTTTAAGAACTAAGACTTTATTTATTTTGCTTTTTTGGGGGGGTGGGTGTAGTTAGGTTTATTTATTTTTAGTGGAGGTAATGGGAATAGAACCCAGGGCCTCATGCAAGCTAAGTGTGTGCTCCACCACTAAGCTATATACTCCACCCTCTTCCCCATAAATCTTAGTGTTAAAAAACTGTCATACATCTCTACTTTTTAAAGTCATTCTTATGGCATTTTACCTATCAAATAAAGCTTTTTTTAAGTTTAGATAAGAATTATCAAACTATTTTAAACCATATTTTTCTTTTGCCCTTAAAACTGTTTTATATACTTGATAATCAAAGTGAGCACCTTGCTCAGCCTTAAAGAGATATTTGGAAATAAGTCTTAAATTATAATTATGAGGGGAAAAAAAAGGTTTGTGTTTAAGGAAGTATCTTTCTTTTTAATGTGAGATCAATAGTCATCAAATATTACTGATTTCCAAATTTGGTTAATAACAAAAACCCTAAAACAAGCAGTATCTTCATGTCATTATTCAGAACTGGAAGAGGTAGCTGTTTAGTGATGGCATTTAAATAACTGCTTCTCTTACCCAAGGCCTGTTTCTCCAAAACATGCCTCAAACTCACATTTACTGCCCTAGACTCCCTTCCCTCTTTCCTTCTCCCCAAGTAAAATAAGCAATTTTGAAAGACAGTCATAATAAATAAAATACCTCTATACTGTCTTTTAGGGATTTCCAGAGAGAAGATTTCTGTACATGCTGCCTAAATTTAAGTATGAAAATAAGCATATAATATGAATTATATTTAAGCTTATTTTAATAAACTGGGCTTATTCTTTGTTTCAAAAAGACTGAAGCTCCTTTATTTTTATGTGGTTACATAAATAAAAACATATGACTAGGAACTTACAGTTTAGGTAAATGAGAGTATGAGTATCTGTGAAAAACAAAATCCCCAATTTTAATTGAGAGGGTAAATCAGACTAGCAATAATTAATTAATCACAGCTGA